AAAAAGAAAAGTGGAAAGGAGAAATAGTGTTTTTAAACACACACACACACACAAACACACACACACACACACACACACAACTAATTATCCAGATCTCACTACTACACCTCCATGCTAAATTTTCAGATGATTAATATGAAATAAACCAAGGAAGAGATTTGTGTAAAAGAAAAACCCATAGTTTTAATTAAAATACAATGACATTTAATAAGTCATATTTTTACACTATACTATCTCAGTAATTCCCACACTTAAGACCTGCCCATATACTGATATAACCAATGACAGTAAACCAAAATTGTTTCAAATGTATATATTTTTTTTAAAATTTTTATTTATTTATGTGTGTGTGTGTGTGTGTGTGTGTGTGGCCAGCTCAGCCCACCAGGGGGCGGGCTGGCTGGCATGTGGTGCTGGGGGATTGAACCGCGGTCCCTGTGCTTTGCTAAGCTTGTTCTAAGTAGGTGCTTTAGACCACTGAGCCATCTCACCAGCCCCTCAAATGTATATTTTTAATAAATGTAAAATTAATTTTAATGACTAAGAATAGATTTACTCTAGATTCATGGAAAAATCTTCAGTTCTATCTTTAATATATACAAGAAGGTTCTTAAATATATGACTTGAAACTCTAAAGAAATCTTTCATATACAGTATTTTGTTGAAAGACTTTAAGTTGAAGTTTTATGTTTGTTCTAGCATAGTATAGATACCCTTCAAAAATATAATGCTTTGACACTGCTGGATCTTTTGAAATAACACATTTTGCTAACAACTTTCTCTCTTAAAAGCACATAAATTTGTATAATCTGCACAGAAGAAAATTTGGAAATAGCTGTCAAAATTAAGAGTATATACAAGCTGCCAGTCCTCCATACCCATGGGTTCTATATTCGCAGATTCCACCAACTATCGATAGCATTTACTTTGGATAGGCATTACCAGTAATCTGGAGATGATTTAAAGTACAGAGGATATGTGTAAGTTCTATACAAATACCACACCACTTAGAAAAAAAATGAGTTATCTCCCAGCCTAGAAAAAAAATTGAAGATACACAGATTTGGTATCTGCAAAAAGTACTTGTACCAATTCCATAATGATACTGAGGAATAACTGCAGTTTTTAAAAATTATTTTCTCTTTGTGATAAATTATACAGAAAATAAAACTTATCATATCTCTTCAAGTTTATAATCAATGGTATGGAATATATCTATAGTGTTTTGAGACCATCACCACTATCCATCTTTGTAACTGTTTTCATCCTGTAAAACTAAAACTCTGTACCAACTAAACAGTAACTACCCATTCCCTTTATTCCAATCACCATTCTAATTTCCATCTCTTTTGAATCTGACTACTGTAACTACTTCATATAAGTGGAATTACATAGTATTTTTCTTTTTGTGATTGACTTATTTAGAATTTTCTTCCTTAAGGCTTAATAATATTCCACTATATGTACACTATTATTCATCTATCAGTGGCTTGCTTCAACATTTCAGGCAATGTGAATGATTCTATGAACATGGATACACAAATCATCTCTAGCAGATACTGTTTTCTGCTCTTATGACTATGATTTGAATATGGTTTAGTGATCTCCAAAACTCAGGGTGAAATTTGATTGCCATTGCAGCAGTGCTGGGAGGGGAAGTACAAGTATTTGAATCATGAGAAGATTAATGCCCTCTCTTGAATCTGGGTTCTTCCCCTCTCAAGACTAAATGCATTTTCTTTCTCCCATCTTCCTCTGGGAGCCAGGTGAATTAACAATGGCTTTTATGAGATGCAGCCACTTCCCCTTCCATTGTGCAGCCTCCAGACCAAGAAGTTAAATAAATTATTTTTCATTATAACTTACCCAGCCTCAGTTTTAGATAGAAAATGTCTAAAACTTTGCATCATATGTAAATACCATTTTAAAATTTTGAGGATGCATCATAATGATTCCTACTATGGCAATAACATTTTATATTTATACCAACACTGCATGAGTTCCAACTTTTCCACATAATTGCCAACAACTGTCACTGGTTTTTGTTTGAATTCTTTAAAAAAAATCTATTTATTTATTTTGCACAGTGTCACACTACACAGCATGGATTTATAGTGATCCTCTTGTCTCAGCCTCCCCAGCACCGGAATTACAGGTGTGCATCACAATGCCCCACTTCAGCCATTTTGGTGGTTGACACAACATGCCCAGGGTTCTGGGACCAGTACAAGATGCAGTATTGGGGACTGAACCCGTGTCCTTGAGCTTGCCATGCAGGTGCTTAGACTACAAAGCTATCTCCCCAGTCCTATCACTGTTTTGTAGCAATGGTAATATTGAGTGTTAAGTGGTAACTCTATGTAGTACTGATTTGCAGTTCCCTAGTGACTACCAATGATGAAATCTTTTCATGTGCATATTGCTAATTAGATATTTTCTTTGGAGATAACTAAGACTTTTCTGTACACTACACACATAAGTATCCTTACCAGACATTTGAGTTTCAAATATGTCCTGCATCCTTGGGCTGACCTTTTATTGTTGGTAGTTTCTTCTGATATCCAATATTCAGGCTAGTCTACCATTTTCGTTACTCCTTGTGCTTCATTGACGTGTTCAAGAAATCACTGTATATGATAATATGAAGCTTCTCTGTTATATTTTCTTCTATCAATTTATAGATTTATGTCATACATTTAGGACTCTGACACATTTTGATTTAATTGTTGTATATGGTGTTAGGTAAGGGTTCATCTTATTTTCATTTGAATATCCAGTTTTATCAGCACCACCCATTAAAAATATTCTCCTTTCTCCACTACAGGACCCTGATATCCTTGTCAAAAAACATATGATTTTATATGTGAAGGTTCATTTCTAGGCTATTACTAGGTCCCTGAATCTCCATGTCTGTCATTAGGGTAGAAACATACTGTTTTGATCACTGTAGCTTTGTAATAAATTTTGAAACGAAGTAGAATCTTCCAGCTATCTTGTCTTTTGTCAAAATTGTTTGGCAATTTGGGGAACTCTTAAGAGTCCATATGAATTTCAGAATATATTTTCTATTTCTGCAAAAACATCGATGAGTTTTTTTTTTTAAAGGATTTCATTCAATCTATTTCTTTCAGAAGTATTAACATTTTATGAAGTATTTCATGAATATAAGATGTTTCCATTCCATTTGTTTATATCTTGTTTAATTTTTTTCATCAATGATTTATAATTTTCATTATGTAGACTTTCCTTTTTTGGTGAATTTTTTCTTACCTTCCTTTATTACTTCAATACTACTTTGTCTATTTGTTTAAAACGTTGGGGATCAACACAGGAACTTGTATATACTAAACTATCCAGTCACTAAGCTGAGCTATAAGTCCATCCTGCAAGGCCTCTATTTTGAGACAAGGTTTATGTTGTCAGGCTTGCCTCAAAACCCTGAAGAAAATTTCTTACTCAGCCTTGTGAGTAGGTGGGACTACCAGCATGTGTCACCATGCCCAGTATTTTAGTCTCTGATCTTACAGGAAACAAAATACTTTCTTAAACTTCCTTTTTAACTGTTTTTTGTTAGTACTGGGAAAGCAACTGATTTTTGTGTTGAGATTTATGCTGTTATTTTGCTGATTTCATTTACTAGGATCTAAAAAATTTGGAGGGAATCTTTAGCATTATTTACATAGCAAATCTTAGCATTCACAGAGATCATTTTAGACGTACATATTTCAATTTGTACACCTTTTATTTCCTTTGCTGGCTTAACTGCTTTGCACAGAACTCTGAAAGTGAGCAGCTTTACTCTTAGTCTTAGAGGAAATGTTTTCAGTCTTTCACCATTGAGTATGATGTTTACTGTGGGTTTTCATATGTAGACTGTTGTGTTGAGGTACTTTTCTTCTAAGTTTGTTCAAAGTTTTTCTCTATCAGCTGAGATACCATGTATTTTATCTTCATTATATTAATATTGTACATTACTCTGACATTCATAAGAACATCAACCTTGCATTCCAACAATTCCAACTGGCCATGATGTGTAATCCTGTCAATATGCCACTGATTTGAGGATTTTTTTCACTGTTTTTCATAAACAGTTAGATACATGCTTTTTCCCTTTAAAATTATCTTAGGAACTTACCTGCATATGTTTAAATTGTATACTTATACTAGAATATTTGTTATTGAATAATAGCAAAACTTAGTGAACTGACTTAAGCTTCCATCATCTGGAAATGGATTAAGTAAATTATTGTACTGCTGTACTACATAATTAATGTACAGCTATTAAAAAGAACAAGGAAAAGATAAAAGAATGTGTACTGATGCAAAAATATTTCCAAAAAAATTACATGTCCAAATTATAAATAATATGTGAAAATAGCAAGGTACTGTCTTGCCATATGGAGATGGGGAAAAGATTTGAATATGCCTTTGTATACATAAAATTTTCAAGAGTAATCCACAATAAACAACACAGATTGATGATTTCTCATAAATATAATGCAGGAGACAGGGGATATACTCAGTGACATAAATGCCTGCCTGGCAAGCACAAAGGCCTGAGTTCAATCTCCTGTACTTCCATAAATAAGTAAATTAATAAATAAGTATAATGCAATAATTTGTGGTGGCAGTTCTGATCAATTTTCAGCATCAATTCAAAAGAAAAGAAAAAAGCTATAAGTGTGACAATTTGGATAAAATCTCAAAGGCATTATGATTCTCCAAGGTTCCACACTGTGAAATATCATTTACATAATATTCTTAAAGAGACAGAATTAAAGTAAGGCACAAATCACTTTTTGGGGATTACGAATGGGGACAAGCTGTGGCCACAACCATATAGCATGAAGGAATCTACAGGATGACTGAGCTGTTCTCTATGCCTATGTAGTAGTTAGGAGAATTTATACATGTGTGAAAACATATAGAATTGTATGCAAAAAGTCCATTTTAATATAAATTTCATTTAAAATACCAAACTAAGAAAAATCTCAGTATCAGTGCTCACTTCTGGAGTACATATAATAAAATATAAATCATATAGAGATGATTAACATGTCCCTAGTGCAAGGATGACATGCAGATTTATGGAGTGTACCATATTTTTAGAATGGAGTATCATTATGCCATAAAGGAGGCTAAACATGAGTCATTTCTAAGAGAATGGATACAGTTAAATATCACATGGCTTCTCTTATATGAGAAACTCAAAAAACAAAGAACAAAATAAAAGATAACAAAATTGGGGATCCATCTTTTATACATAGGAGGGTGACAAAGAGACTAAGGGAAGGAAGAGGAGTGGGATACAAAGATGATGAGAAAAGAATTAGGATATACTGTACATGTGTACCAAATGCCTACCAGGAATGTAATCACTATGTACTTCAAACATGTACTGATAAAAAATAAAAACTGAATGGGGTGTGGTGATGCTTGTGCATAATCCCTAGTAGGAGGCTGAGGCAGGAGAATCACAATGAGTTCAAGATGAGCCTCAGGTACATAATGAGTTCAAGGTCATTCTGAAGTACACAGTGAGACTGTCTCAAAAAAAAAAAATGGGAAAAAAATCCCAATATATATTAAAAACAAAAGAATATTGAAGAAAGCACATCACATCTCTTACATGTGCTTATATAATTATTTGAAGCTTTAAAATTAGACACTGTTCCTATATTTATTCCTGTAGTTATCAAACACTAGTATATACATCAGAATCTCCTAGAACCCTCATTCAGATCAACTTCTGGAATTTGCTCTCAACTAACCTTAAGTACAGCTGCCAAGTTGTAGGCCTTCTTTTAGGTCATGTTCAGCCATTAGTCCCAGAACACTTTTATTTTATTTCCAGAACACTTTTAAAGCAACATTCTAGAAAAATAAGTTAGCTCATCAAAATGTCCACCAACTACAGCAATATAATCTAATTATTTTCAGTAATATTTAATTTTTTTTTTCAAAACTTGTGACGTGTGGGTGTTGCAGGGAAGGGGGTGGTTTACATTATGTTAAACAGTGAAATAAGAGATATACAAAATTTAGTTGTTATGCTTTTCAAATTTTGTACCTTATCTCTCCTTGCTGCCACTAGATGGAAACCAATACAATGATTAGTTACTGAACTGTCAATATAAATTGAAAGATAATAAATTTAGGTTAAAATTACGCCATAACATTCAGTACAAAGGGACAAGTAACTGCAGGACTCTACACTAACATAAACTGTAGGGTGACGGTATTTTTAATTGTGAATAGCTCTTGACCTAGAAACTACACCAATTTCACAGCTCTTATAATCTGTGCTGCCAAATTCGAATGTTTAAGTTTTAACCCCCAGAGGCTCAGAATGTGACTTTACTAGAAGATAAGGCCTCTGTAGAGGTAGTAAGGTTTAAGTAAGAGTCAACATGGGTAAGACCTAATTCAAAATGAACTGTTTCCTTATAAAATTTGGGATTTTGGACATGTACAGAGAAGACAGTATGAAGATACAAGGAAAGACAAACACCTACAAATAGGATCCTCAAATTCTCCTTCAAGATCACAGAAGGAATCAACCCTGTGACATCATAATCTCAGATTTCTTGCCTCCAAAGCTGTGGCACTCAGTTTGTGGTGGTATGTTAAAGCAGTCCTACCAAACAAATAAACAACATACTGTGTCATATCCTGAGACAAGAAAAAAAAAAAAAAAGTAAGTGTTTGTCTTCAGGAAGTCCAGGGTTCAATGGCTTATTAAGAAAGTGGGAATATTCATTATTTAATAACTTTTTAGTATTTTTGCAAAGTTAGTCAGCAATAAGAGATTCTAACACTAAATCCCATTTTGTTTTTATTGACGCCATCTCATTTTCTTCTTAGTCTTTCACGTAAACCTAATTGATTTCTCTTTCTAAGCATCCACATTCCTAAGAACATCCACGTAATTTCCCTGATCGAAATGTTTTAATAAATATAAAAAATGACCACCTTTTTCTAACTCACTGTAAATATGTTCCTAAATTTAAACAAATTACTTAGACCACTAATATATTCAATTTCTGGTACAAAAAATAATAATAATAAAACCCTGATGTAGTTTGCACCTAGAAAACTGAAATATCTTTAGTAGGATGAGCAACTAATTACAATGTACAGAAAGAGGCACAGCAATAGTATAAATTATCATTAAATACATATAAGCATAAGTGTTCCACCTCAAATAATCCTTAAGTTGACAAAGACCAATTATCTCAAATTTTGAAGCAGAAAGGGTATAAGCTAATAGTCTTTGTTTTGTTTCGAGACAGAGTCCCACTATGTAGTGCAGGCTGGCCTTGAATTTGTTTATGTAGCCCGGGTTAGTCTTGAATTCATGGTGATCCTCCTGCCTCTGCCTCCAGAATGCTGAGATTACAGGTGTGTGCCATCATGGCTGGCAGTGATAATTATTCTTGATCTGTTACTGCTGCATAAAACACTCATGACTATCAATTATCATGAAACTAGTACCTAAATATTTCAAATTTATAAATAAGTGCATAGAAGCTTGTATTTTATGCAACTTCATTTCATACTGCACACTGGGTTTGCAAATAAAATTTAACTGTTTTTGTTAATTATCAAAGCTCTCAACTATTGAATTAACATTTTTTTATTGATATAGTTGCCCATTTGTTTTCTATTCATTAAAAAATAGCACTCAACTGCTAGGGACCAATAATTATTATATTAACCAACTCTTTAATTCTTTCATTAATTAATTCTTTGGTTTCTCATCTCTTCCCCTTTCTCTCTTTAGGACCCATGGTTATTCAACCATTCTGGTATTCCTCTAGTACAATAAAAAATAAGTAAGTTTCACAAGCTTAAATATCATTAAAGAGTATTTTTTTGTCATTTTATAAATAATATTCCAATGTCATTATTTGTTAGGTCCCAGAGTGAACACCTACAATTAAATGATTCAGCAACCAGCTACACTATCTTTGCCTTTTTACAGTTCCAATCAGTAGCAGACCTAGGTGTAATCAACAGCAGCAGGGGGTTTTAGGAAGCAAAACAAAACAAAAACAGTAGGAATCTTAACTAGAATACAGTAATTGATACAAGGGAACATTATGGGTTATTTTAATCCAAGATAACCTAAAATCATAGAATATGATTTTATAATCAGAAGTGAAATAAGGACAACTTTTAAATATCTGAAAATATAATAAATTTCAATCAGTTAATAAGGTTAAAATGAAAAGGTTCTGTTTTCAAAATGAATCTCTTAGTCTCATAAGGGTCGTTACTTCTGTTTGGGTTATTTAGCATCCATTTAGCTGACAAATTAAAGGCCTTCTTACCTCCTATTGCTATCATACCTAACCAATTTTATCATTACATACTTACAAAAACTAAAGCATCTCAGAGAATAACTGGCAATGCTCTTTTACTCCTAAGAAACATCTAAAATTTTATCAGCAGTATCAGTAGTCTTGAAATGTAATTTAGCAAAATATTCCCATTTCTTTCATTTTCCTATTTTTGACTCCCAAGACTAGGGTTTACTGGAGATATTTAAGTATTATGTCTCAAAAGTATGCAGGGAACACAGTGATTTATTTACAATTGTAGTATGATGTAATGACTACAAATTTTGACTACACACACAAAAAAACCCACAAATGGAAATGTTACCATAGTAACAACTTGATCACTTTGCACCAGGAGGATAGCTGATACGGTATCATGATGTAATTTTATAGCTGTTTATTGTAATGTGGGCAATGAGATCTACAAAACAATTCTACTTCATTCTGCTCACAAGAACGAGATGTGAGAAATGCAACTTACAAATTTATAATCTTGTCAACTTTTTCTTTTACTTTTTAAAAAGGCTTATAAAATAAAACAAAAATTAAATTGACTGATATTTAAAATATCTACTTATAGAACTTATTTGACATATTCCAACCTCAGACTGTTAGATTTTCATAGAGCACTAGAAAACAAACGTATATTGTATCAATTGTATCTATGTATGTCTGAAGCACTTCCAAACTTATTCTTCAACTACTCCACAGTGCTAAAAAGTATGGCAAGTGAGAGGGAAATGGTAGAGAGGGAAGAGGAGAAAGAACATATGGACTGAGGCAGATGTGCCTCTTTTATCAACTAGGTATATCAAGACTTATGTTCATAAAATTACCTGTCATCTGCAAATCAGAACTAAAACAAAAATCAAATCTATAAATCAGTATGTTTTAATATATGCTTTTGTTAATGTTTCTAGGCTTCTTGTAACTACTATTGAGGCACACAAATGTATTAAATAGAAACATGACAGAAAAAAAATGTTGCTATCAATTTGTCCTTCCATGTAACAAAGTCATATTACAATTAAAGCTCAGATATAAGAACAATTTACACTAAAAAATAATGGCATTCATTTAAAGTGATATAATGAAATATAGTAAGCTACAAAGATACATTTTTAAAATAACTTCTCAACTTATTGAAATAATAGCCTTAGAGAAATCTAGTAAGACAGTCTATTTTTATGTTATTGAAAATTATTTTAAACAATAATTTTAGTAACCTTAGTTATTAAATTTAAGCCACTTCTATGAATGATATTTTTATTATATCAAGTGGTAATTTCCCTTCCATATCTGATTTGGCATTTTGATTTGGGGATGGGAATTATGACTACTCATAAAACATTTAAAAGTAAAAGAGTTTTATTAAAAGCTAACCTTTGAGGACCTGCCATGGTGGTGCATGCCTATAATCCCAGCACTTAGGAGACTAGAAAGGAGGATCACCAGCAGTTTGAGGCCAACCTGGGCTCCAGTAATGAGTGTAGGCCAGCCTGTACTACATAGTGAGACCCTGTTGCAAAAAACAAAAACTAGCCCTTGTTTTTTTTTGTTTGTTTGTTTGTTTTTGTTTGTTTGTTTGTTTGTTTTGCTGAACCGGAACTGAACTCAGACCCTCACGCTTGCCAGAGAAGCGCTTATCCTACTGAGCCGTCTCCCGGCTCCTAGTCCTTGTTAATTTTAAGAGACTTTTCCTCCCCAAAATATATGTATACAAGTAAAAACACAGAGATAAACAGCTGATAAGAAAAATAAATTT